ATTAAGAGTCTCTTTTAGAATAAATTTAATTTTAGCACCTAAAATCCTCTCTTCTAAAATACTTTTCATATCTATAGATGTCTCAATATTAGATTGAAGCTTATAAGTAGGATTCTTATCTTTAAATTTGCTTGTCTTAGCTTTCTCTTTTTCTTTGTCCTTCTCCTATCACTCTTTTGATAATGATGCACTACCAAAATCAGTAGAAGAAAGCATCTTCTCTAATTTCTCTTCTTTAAAAGCTTCTTTGTTCTTTGGAGACTTCTTCTTACTTTTACGCTCAATAACATCTTTTTTATGAATAGTTCTATCTTTTTTTTCTTCAACCATAGCATTATGCAAATCATCATTATATTTTTTCTCACATAAAAGTATTTTAATGCTAATAACATCAATTGAATTATTCCATGCACTTATTTTCTTGATAGCTTCAGCTTTCCTGATCATAGGTTTTGTATTTGATAAAGAATTAGCCTTAATTACTTTTTATTGAATTATAATAGAGTAAGACTCAGCTCTTTTCTTTTGTATGGCATTATTCTTTGTATTTGTCTATTTATAATTTTTTCATGCCACCTTTTTCAAAATTAATCCTCAAAGGCTCATCTGACCTTATAAATTTTATCCTATCCTTCTTGAAATATACAATACTATCTTTGATTCCAGCCTTATAATTATCACACTCACTAAGCTTGTAGTTTGGATTATCACATCACATACATCTCTCTGAAAATCTCTTTGAGCCTTCAATTGTCTTTAGTGAGCTTGCTATGTAGGATTTCTTTAACTCAATCAATTCTACCTTCAAATCATGTATGCTTTTGATCAATTCTTGAAGAATATTTTCTTTGATAATCTTGATTATCTTTTGAGGTAGCACTAAAGATGGAATGTAAGCACTGACTCTGGCCTTAATATTAAATTATAAGTCTTAATATTTTGTAGCTTAGCTAAAAGCCCCATTGTCTCTTTTACTAATCTCCAATTATTGATAAAACTATTCTTAGATGTCTTCTTTGCTAAATAAAAGAGTAGCTTATCTTTTACGTATTTATCAATTTTTTATAAGAATAATCTAATTTTTCTTATTTCCAAAAGTTGCCTATCTTATCAAGGCAATTGTCCATTACTACTTGTAAAGCTTTGGTGGTGTTTTTATTCTTTCCATGCATTTATTGCCTATCTTCTATAAATTAAGCAAATTCCTTGAATAAATTGTAGGCATCCATTCCTTCTGGTAATGCAAGCCCTAGAATTTGATCTCCTATCTTGACTTGTTGAAAAATTTACTGCCTTAAGCCTCTCTTAGTAGAAGCACCAATATGTCGAGGTAGAGAGAATTTATCTTAAGAAAGTGCTAGGCTTTTCATTGTCACTAATTATTCAATCAAGTCTCAAGATAAAAAAAAATACCAAGTTTATATATAAAATATATATATATATATAATTATTCTTATAGGAGCAATTACATCAATATATAAATCTTAAGTACCAAAAATCATTCAAAATATAATAAAAATATTATAAAACCTTATATATCTTTAGGATATATTTTTTTTAATCTTCAACAACTCATAACTCACGATTGGACTATCCAAAAAAAATTAAAATTTGTATAAAGTACTAATATTCTTTCACAAAAGACATAGGTCTTAAAATCACCCTTGTAACTATATCTTTCAATTTCCAAAATTTGTTGTAAACTTTCTTGTAACTTCATAAGAGCAATAGTATGTCTTGAAAAGACACCTTAACTTTAAATAGCTATAAGTTCATTATTCTAATTTCAAATCGTCTAAAAATTATATACAAATTGTAGTCAAAATCCTAAAACTTATAACTCTTGCTTTTGATTCTTGAATAGCCCTTTTGAAGTTTTTGAAATACTTGTTATGGTTGCAGACAACCTCTTGAGAGCTTATTAGGCATGGCTTTTGACCAATAGGCATGAAGACCTTCACTTCTTACCTTCATCCATTCATATCTTGCTTTCATCCCTCCAAATAAGTTTGTTAGAAGTTTAAATCTTCATCTTTGAATTCCAATCTTTTCTTTAAATTTTATATTAAATATTTAAATCCTATATAATTTAAATATTATAATTAAAATATATAAATCTCAAAATAAATTTTCTTACATCAACTCTCTTTAAATTAACCTTTTAATTACTCTAATATACATCAACATTTATAAATATATTATATGTTTTAGTTAATTTTTACATACTATAAACAATTATAATATGGTAGTAGGTTTTGTATTGACATTTGATTTTGTAATTGAAGATTCTAAATTATGGCCATCAATTCCTTATTGATTATTTCTTCATTGTCAATTTTTGTAATTTTGAATGCCTATTCAAACAATCTAGCATGCCAAAAATAATTTTGTTTTATTATTGGAGATATTTCTATCCAAGCCACAAGTAACTACTACAATGCCATCAATTGCTTAACCTTGTATAAATTGATCTTATTTTTCTCGTTTCAATCTAGTGTATTTTGTAGAGAGGAAATGATAGTGTTACTTGAATGCCACTATGATTCTTGCATGCATTGGCTAGATCTTGGAAGTTGCATTTAGAAGAAGCACATACATATCTATATTGGAAGAATTTTGGTTGTTTGTATTGTACAATAGTGCATTATCCATGACAAGCAAAATCTATTGCATGTACCATCTCCATTTCCTTATTGAGAATTTTTGAGCCATTTTTAAAAGAAAAAAAAGTCTTCATCATCCATGCTTTCTTATTAGAGCAATAATAAAAACCTAATTGTTTGCTTATATAATGATTGAAGCAATAGGGCTTGTAAGCAAAGCTAATAAAAAATGGTGGTGATTTGTGGATTCTATCAACATTTGTTGTAAATGCAATGGTAATCCATGCAGTTTCTTTCTTATAGTCAGTGATTTATTGTTAAGCAATGATTTGGTCTGTCAACATATTATAAAGTAATCAAATTTCATCCATATTATGCAGGTCGTATAAATTATAACTTGCAATGTGTAAGCATAGAGTAGGCATTGTTACATCAATACTAGTTTGATGAGTTGAGCCTACATCTTCCTGCATTTTGATCACTTTCAGCTTGTGACGAGAAAAAAATTCTCAAATCTATTATTCAAAAACTCTATTTTGCCTATGAGAATTACAAGCAACTCTGTAAAGCATCAATTGTGCTCCATAATAAGCTCTATTGACAATAATACATTTCAAGATTGTCGTTGCATAATCCACAGAGCAAGTGATTCCTCAAGGTCAAAAAAATGAACTATCCTTGGATACTTTGTTTAAAACAAGTCTTGGTTCATAGCTTTGTACTTCTTATATTTCTTTAGGATTTTGTTAATAGCAATTTGTGAGGGTACTTTTGTAAGCTTAAACTCGGTTTTGGACCACTTCGCAAAATCATTTGTAAGATTGAAGGTTGTACATTCCTCTACTTGTAGATTAATAGTCATTTGATGTTGGTAAGTGCAATATTCTATAGAGTACGCAGGTGTTGGTCATACAAGAAGGAAAGTATTAGACTAACAATAAGTGGATACTTGAGTAGATTCATGATTTCAACTAAACTTAATATATTTTAATCTCTAATAAGTTATGTTTTGAGAGGTGAACTGACCTTAAAACTTACAAGAGATATTATTGTATATATATATATTTTTAATAATAATATTCTTATTAATAAATAAAGATTCTAAAATCAAGTTTTTTTTTGTTACTACATTTTATTTCTTACTATTTCATGCCAATTTGATTCTTTGTTTATTTATTTATTTATTTATTTATTTTATTATTATTCTAATTCATTTTGTCAACTTTTAAGAAGGAAGATACTTTTATATAGATTTTAAAGTTCCAAGTTGTAATGTAATGTAGTATTATATGAATATTATTCTTAACTTTTAAAAACTATAAAACATCTCAAAAACTAAACAAATGTAATGATTATTTTATTTTAATTATAATGATTGTTAAACTTTTATTTGAATCATTTTCTTAAAGCAATCACTTACATCTTTTCTTAAAGAAAACTTCAATGATTGAATTTTTTCTTTTTTTATCTAAATGTCTTGTAATGTTCTTAACAACATTTATTTGTAATAAACTTTTTAAAATTGCATAAGTGTTTGTAGAGTTAATTGAGTATTGAAGACTTTCACAAAATGAAAATAATATGACATCTAGAGCAAAGCTTTCTAACTTGCATATTTGCACCAATTGTAGATATACAACAACTTTTAGAATATCTTTACAAGACATTATAGTTTATATTTTCCATGTTCTTGAGTTTTCCAAAGTTATAATGTATAATGAAAATCATACAAATATTATTGAGTTTAAACAACTTAATAAAGCTCATCTTAATTCAAAAAAAATTTATAGAGATATTTATAACAAAATCATCTCAACTTTGTAATTCTAAAAAATATGATTAATTTTTTTATAATACATTATAAATTTAAGAATATTTTTAATTTTGGATTTGTTAGAATTCAAATAAAAGACTTCAATTATTACATAATCCACACAATGATATATATATATATATATATATATATATATATTCAATCTTCTTCACTATTACTTTAATACCATTCTAATATAATAAATACAACATTGAGCTCTTTAATATACTCTTCTCCCTAACAGTAAAAGAAAAAACATTGTTGTTCTTAGGGTCACCCAATTGAATGCCTAAACTAGGTCTACCAAATGTGTAAACTAACATCTATAGACACAAGGGTCATGGGGCCTTTCAACCAAGCATTGAAGGATGAAACCCTAGCGTGAGCCAATGGATGAAACCATCCATCCATCCAACAGCGGTAAAATAACTCACGTGCTCCAACAAGAGCTGACTGAGCTGCGAAGACGCTTACTTATTAGGTTTACGATGGGGTAGGATGGATGTTGGACGAATGAAGAAACTCATGGATGAATGATCAGTAGTCAGTTTGTTTGGTGCGGGAGGTGTAAAACCCTAGCCCTTCGGCATGGTGAGTCCTTTTGCAAGCTTCCAGGCCGCCATAGCCGAAGCAGAGCTCCGTAATTCTCATACTTCGTGTGTTGCTTTCCGATGGCTCCCCCGTCGAAAGTCGCCAAGGCCCCTGCAGCCTCGCAGGCGGCGAAGGCAACGAAGGCTGCCAAGGCCCTGAAGACCACCACCAAGCCGGTGAAGAAGCTCTGGAGGAAGGTGCGCACTTCGGTGACGTTCCATCGCCCCAAGACCCTCAAGCGTGCCCGCGCCCCCAAGTATCCTCGTCTTAGCGCTCCCGCCCGCAACAAGCTCGATCACTACGAGGTGCTCAAGTACCCGCTCACCACCGAGTCTGCCATGAAGAAGATCGAGGACAACAACACCTTGGTCTTCATTGTGGACGTGCGCGCTGACAAGAAGAAGATCAAGGAGGCTGTCAAGAAAATGTACGACATTCAAACCAAGAAGGTCAACACATTGATCAGGTCTTTGTTTCTCTCCTCTCCCCTTTTTCCTTTTTTAATGAATCAGGGTTTGTTGATTTTTTGTTTCTTCGGTGGTGGTCTCGTTTGCGCAAATTGCGTGATTTAGGTTTAGTCTTCGTCAGGTTTAGGTTTCGCGAACATCAATGATGTCTTAATTGTGGGAACTTGGACATGTGAAAATTTGTCATTTTTCTCTGTCCACAAGGTGTTAAGTTGCGGAAGAGTAATAGTGCTACTTTTAGCTGACCGTTTGCAGAGGATGGCCCGCCTTAGGTATTTCTTGAACGCTTTCTGCTGGTGACTTGTTACGCTTTAGTACAATTGATGCTTTTAGTAGTGTCTGCTGGGTGCTGTCTGGTCTGAATCTATCTGGCTCTCCTTGTTGTGCTCTTGTCTACAGCATAATTCCCATTTCTTGATGGAGACGAATCTAACTAGCTACTAGTGACGTTGTACATTCGTCATCATCAAATATGAATCATTAACATGAGATACAGACTAGGATGCCAGTCACAGTGCAATCTTGATTAGGACTAGAGCATTCGTCAGTCTTGGAAGTGATCGGTTTTTGTGTCGAAGTGGATAGGTAATGCAAAGTCGTGAGCACGTGGTGTTGTAGATTATTTTCATTTGATGTCTTTAGACGTGGTAGACAGTACATCTCCCTGAACGGTTCTTTAATATTGCTAAATTGCGGTGTTTTGGGTTGACTTGTGTGTTGGCTATCTTTTACGTCCTGCAATCCATGCGTAGATGGAGCCTCTACGCATGGATTGCTGGAGTGGTTTATATATAAACGCACCTGTACATCTATACATACATTTATCTAACCTATCCTCTACAATATTTCAGGCCTGATGGAGCCAAGAAGGCGTACGTGCGACTCACGGCAGACTATGACGCGCTGGACGTGGCCAACAAGATCGGTATCATCTAGATTGAAGTTTCTGTTCAATTTTGTAATCTTCTCATTATTGAGGCTTGGCCTGATTTCTGGCGCATTACATGTTTCTGTGCTGTGCAAAGCCCTGAATCCTTTGATCATGCTATGGTCTAGTCCTGTTGGTTAAATGTCTACAATTAGTTCACATATGAGTTTTGAACTAACTTTACTATATAATGGACGTATGCCACCATCAAATGTTCTCTGCGACACACCTTGTGTGACAGTTCAGCTCATGTTACAGTCGACTACCTCTCTGTATCACATCGCACATCAGAGTGCTACTACACCGTTGGTGGAACTGATGCATCATCTTTGCTTCAGTACCCTTGAATTTTAGCGCTACAGCATTTGCACACTCGCAACCTGGACAATGCACTGAATCACCTAGCTCAGTTCCAGTTCGTCATGAAATCTTGAAAACACTCTAGCGGCACGTAGCCAGCATCATTCATAATGAAACTGCGCACAACCATAGAGAGCCTCAGATATTTCCTGTTGTCACCAGCCTCTATGCGTAAATAACTTATCAAATATTATAATTCTTGTTCCTGGCCTTGCATCTCAATCGGTCGAAGAACAGTATTAATTTCATAGTATCTGCTAATAATTCAAGCGGCAGCAACTTTAGTTAACACCGCTGGTACCTCTCCCCTGTAAAGCAATAAATTGTGCTCTGTGTTATCGTAAGCTCTCTTCTATTGAAAGATCATCTCCTGGTCTACAATATTCACCTCACAATTATTATGCGATTTAAGTTTTGATGCACAATTACATTGATGATAAACAGCCCTCCTCGTCTGATTTCTACGATGGTCCTGATTTGGTTGTTACAATGGTTACATTGTATCATAACTGAGACAAGACTACTAACACAAGTACATAAACTACAAGCAAGTTTTCTTCCATAAATATTATTTTTTTTTATTGATAGTTATCTTTAAGATGCACTAAAGTGATTTGTCCAAAAATAGATAAATTAAAAGTAATAATATTAATACTGTATTTCCTAAGACTCTATTATAAATAACAAATTTATAGATATAATTTATGTAAAAGGTACAGATTATTGTAGTATATTATGATTTCTTAACATAACCATACATTTATGCAAGAATGTATATATATATATATGCAAAAATCTTTGAATGAAATCTACTCATCTTGTTAGTCTTTTTTCCTTTCCAAGAAAAGATGTTTCCATTAATAGAGGCATATTGATAAATAAGTATTAATGCATGCATTCATGCATGAGGTTTTTCAAGAGTTTGGAATCCAGTGTGCGATCAATCTGTAAGAGCGTGACAAAGTGTGAATAGTGAGTGATGCGGTGGTTCTGGAACAGGGTCTGTGGAATTCTGGGCGTCGCCGTTGAAAGAATCAGGCAATGGTGATCACGTCGGAGCGTTTAGGATGTAGTGCAAAGTGCAGACCTACTTATCTGCTCTTCACACCACGTCGAAGGTAACAAAGTAGGGGATGGCGATGAAGTTAAGGTGTTGGTCCGTTACGTTCCTCGTAGAATGAAATGCAGACCTACTGTCATCAACTCAAGGACGTTTCAATGCTCAAAGAAGACGGATATTGAGAGAGTGCACCGCGGTTACACAGCTTCTCCCAATTGTTGCACCGCAAGGCTGCCGGAGTTGGGTGTCATCTGACAAGTTTTGCGAATTGATAGAGTGCTGCAGTAGTGTCCACGCCATCATGATCAGAGCGAAGAAACTCCATCTATTCACCTCACGAAACAACACTCGTTCGTTAGTTCTTGTCTTCAGCACTAGGCTGCGAGGGGTTGGGTAGTGGGAGCCATGCCCCATTTCGCTGCTGCAGCCACTGTTATTTGATGGCGTGGACATGAATTGCGATTCTGAGCTTTAGATTTTACCACTGCTTAGAGTTATGGTGACCGTGTCGAAGTTTCACCTCGACTATATGAAACGGACGGTGGTTTGTGCTACGATAGCGATCCTCGCTCTCGTGTTTGGCTTAGTATTCTGCCGCTCTGTCATTTTCCCAAATGAAATATTTATGGGACTATCTGGACAAGATGTTTTAGACGCAGGTGAACAATCGGATTTGGTTGCGGACTGCGATGTCTGCGTTGCGATAGTCATGGGAGATGATGGCTCCAATTCTCCCAGCGAGAAGAACCTCCCCTTCCCCCTTTTGTCCAGACTCTTTCTCACAGTCAAAAGGATCACAAAACAGGCGGAGGGAGATAAGGTTGTATGCGTCGGAGTAGACTACTCCGACATAGTCTGCAGAATAGTGCGTGATGAGCTTGGAGAAGACGCTAATTGTTGGAAATTCGAGGAGATGCTGCAACGTGAAACTCCAGTAATCCCTTCTATCCATTTCTCTCCCTCTCCAACATCATATCAATGCTAAATTAGCTGCGGTTTTATGAAGGTCATGAAGTCCTGCGACGATATCATTTCTTACAGAATTTTGTAACACGAGCAGGTGATTTGCAAAGACATGGTGATAGGAAACACCAGCCAACACCATCCCCAGCTAACCCCATCGGGAAATCTACATGTCGGGAGCTTCAAATGGCGCAAGATGCACGTTGTGGATTTTGATGCAGCTGCTCTCGGCAGTCATGCACCCGCCGTGGCAAGCATTCGACCCACTATCGTGACGGCGTTTAGTGCTAATCATTTGTCTGTTGGTATGCTCCTGCTGCGATCCATTGGTAAAGCGGCCTTCAGCGCGTGGAAACGCAACCCCAGCTTCAATGTCTCCGTTGTGGTTTGGACCATGGAGGAGTTCAAGGGTAAGGACAGAGATGATTTCCGATGTGTTTTAAGCGAATTGGAAAACAAATGGAAATTGGATGTAGAGGTGCGCAGGTTCAAGTTCTGGATGTATCCGAAGTGGATGAGGATCAACCAAGCTCATGATGGAATGAACCAATTTGGAACAGGTCTGTTTAACGGACCTCTTGTTGGAGGAACAAAGAAAATCTGATGAGTAGTTCGGTAGTTCGTTTATTATATCTTTGCTATTGCAAACAGTTGTTTGTTTTGATTTTGATCGTTTGAAATTTACGGCGAGGAGCAGGAGAATACGCTTGGAAGGTTGTCATGATTCACGCCGTTTTGTCGGAACGACGGTTGGTGCTCTGGCAAGACGGTGGAAACAGATTCAGAAGCGCAGAGTCCCTGACTGAAACACTGGACTACATTACCCGGAATGGGTTTGCTTCGAGAACCAGCAGCGGTTGTATCTCAGACTGGACGCGTTGGGAAGCGATCCTCTACCTTCGTGCAACTGAGCTGAACATGTCACAAAGGAACTGCGATGCTTCAGCGGTTGGCTTCACTTTGCAAAAGTAAGTAAGTCGGGATCAGATCCCTCCTCCCAATGTTTACAAAAACTTTCTTTCTCACAATTAAGTTCCAGTAGTTTCGCTCTTGTACGTCAACCACGTGACAGATTCAGTACTTCACGTATGGCAGGTACGAGGAACTCGCACGCCCCTGGTATGAATGCGCAATCACGAGGCAGTGCATAGCCCCCGACGGATCCAGCCGACTGAACCATCGGCAGGACCAAGCCGCCCTGACAATTCTCACGTACTTGTCTAACAACACTTGCACCGGCATTCACCGCGACATTGGTGTGCACATGGACTACAACGTTAGCGACACCGAGGGTGCTGATCCTACCTCTTGCTATTCCGACCCCCGGCAGTCACGATCACTGTAGCGGAAACTTCTGAAATATATTTTGCGCGCGAAATCATAATTGATGCATCGCAGGACCACATTCTCTGACATCCTTGTTATAAATCAGCGAACCACCCTCTCCGACTCTAATACAGTCATTTGTTAAAACGAAAAAGAAAGAGAACTCTGAACAGTATTAGAAGGATGAATGGCCAACCATATCACTGTTGAACACTAATGACCACTACTTTGTTTGTTTCTTCTATCTTTTGGATATCTTTTACATGGTACCAGAGTAAACATGAGCGCTAATGGAAGGCCATGCAAGCAAGACCTTTCTCATCTTCTACAGGATCTTTTGGATCGTTCGAATGTGGGTATAGCCACTAGAGAGAGAACTCCAAGGAGATCTTGTGAGAAGATTAGTAGCCATTCCGCGAGGGAACTTGGCCGTTCCACGATGGAACATGGTAGGGACGAGAGACTTAGGAGTCTTACAAACTAGAAAAACTCAGCAATTACCACGTGTGGAAATTAAAAATGTGTGCAATCTTCTCCGTTGCCTTCCCTATAGTCCTATATAGTGGTCGTCATGTAATGCATTGCAACTGAGAGACTTGAAAGACACCGCCTATAGAGCCATCACGATGTCAGTCAAAGACTCTCTAATTGATACAGTTGCTGAATATAAAGATCTCGCTGCAGCTTAAGCAACGTTGAGAGCGCTCTACCAAACCCGCGACCCTTCCCTGATTCTACTTGTTACAAATCTATTTAGTCAGACGAAGCTGTCTAAAGGAGGTGAAATGGAGGAATACTTGAACAAGGCAAGAAAACTCAAGAACCGCATGGTTGCCCTTGGTGAGCAGTTACATGATCGAACTCTAGTGTAAGCAATATTAAATGGATTATCCAAGGCATATGAATATGTCATCCCAACCATCACTCATGGTTCAACATTTCCAACCTTTGATAGGATGAGTGCGATCCTCCTGACTGAGCATCATCGACTACAACAATGGTAAGTACATCGAACCCAAACGATTGGTATCTGGATTCAGGTGCCATCCGACACATCACTGGATCCAGGGACAGCTTGAACACAGTAAAGAATCAGAGCAGCAGCAAAAAAACTGTCACCACTGCAGGCAGAGAGAAACATAGAATTGAAGTAGGAGATGGCCAAATGTATACAAACTAATAGAAAATAAAACTAAACGATGTTCTCTATATTTTTTCTCTAAAATGTAACCTCATGTTAGTATGTACACTAGCAGACAAGAGAAACACTGTCGTATTTATGAATGATAAATGTTTTGTTTTAAACAACCCAGATAATAGGCTGATCATAGAATCTGGTAGTAGAGACAATATTAACAATCTCTAGAAGATAAGTGTTGGCATCACCTAAGATGCGAACATTGTAACAATTGAAGATGCAATGAAATTGTAGCACTGTAGATATTGACACTTAAATTATTAAGGCCTATGACATCTATATATTGAAAGGAGAATGATTAGATTATCAAAAATAGATTCCATCAGGATTGTTTGTCACAAGTGCCTAGTTGGACATCAAAGAAGAAAGAGCTTCCTTGCCAAGAGTTCAATGGGGGCAAAACAAGTATAAGAGCAAGTATACTCCAATATTATAGGTCCACTTCCAAAACCCTCCTTAAGCAGATTTACATTTGTCATAGTATGTACCATTGATTATTCAAGAAAAACTTGATGTATTTTTTGAAAGCCAAAAGTCAAGTTTTTGACATATTCAAAAAATTCATAAGCAAAGTGGAAAATAAAAATAGGCAAAAAATTGTGAGTATTTAGAACTAAGAAAAGAAGGGAATTCCTTTTGATTGAATTCAATACTTATTGTGATCATCATGGCATATGATAACAAGTCATGCAACCACACATTCCACAATAAAATAGGATAGTAAAGTAATAGAATTGAAGCTTAGTAGAAAAGACAAGGAACATGATATTTGAAGGTAACATCTCAAGCTTCTTTTGGGCAAAAGTCACTAACACAATGTCATGTTGTGGTTTGGTTGACATGTGAAAATAATGCTCATATATATTTAATATATAATTTATTATACAATGTAAAAAAAACCATATTATTAGATTTTAGTTGATTATAAAATATCATTAGCTTACTATTTTAAAATAGTTAGTTTGAAAGGGCTATTATTAAGGTTGATTTTATGTTGAAAATAATTTTTATATATTTAGAACCACCTTTATTAGACATTGGTGATTCTTGAAATCTTGTTTTATTTTTTTTTTATTTAGTGTTTGGGACACATATTATGTAAAATTTATTAAAAATAGGATTAGAGAAGGATTTTTATATAAAAAAGAATAGTTAGGTCAATCATATGGATAAATGGAGATGGATGATGAAAATCTCCAATTGTATTGGCCAAAATTCATGCCCAAAGGACTTCAAGGAGGCTACCTCAGGCCTTATTAGGAATTAGGATTGCTCTTTTAAGGCCATTTGAACATCAAAGTTTAGAATTGTCAAGTTTAGGATTTTGGGTATGATTTTAGTAAAAAATTTATATGATTTGGAATTTTTTTGAAGGAGATATAGGCACTCAAAGTTAAAGTATTGATTTTGTACCTACTATCAATCTTTAAGGCATAGTGCATGCATATAAAGGGGTTTTGAAAATTAGATTGTGTGATTGCAAAGTTGATTTAAAGAACTATATTTTTCATATAAAATGTAAAAGATTTGGAGTTGATTTAAAAGAGTAATAACTACTTGAATAAAGCACTTCCAAATTAAGATTTGTGAATGAACCAATTTCATGAGGGATTTGGTTTAAGCTATAACTTAGGCATTTGGATAAATCTTTAGCTAAATTTTTTCATAAATTTGTATTACTATGTTATAAAGCTATCTACCAAATTTTGTAGCATTCCAATAGTACTTAGATGCTTATAAATTAGGATTTAGAGTATTTGCTAAGATTTCTAAGATGCTAGACGATTTATAATAAATTTATGGTTTATTTTTTTGTAATAAAATTTAAAGATAAATATTATTTTTCTAGAAATTTGAAAATAAATTGAACAATTAAATCAAGAGATATGATATTCTAAAATTTGAAGATTTTTTTTTAAAAATATATATATATATATATTTTGAAAAACAATTGCTATAATTTAGGCATTTTATGTTAAGTAAAGGGATTTTTAAGAGCCTAAATTTTATATATTTGTTAAAAATGGAGATATGAAGCTATGATAAAATTATGATGTAAAGATGAAGTTCTAAAAAAAGATTATAAAAGTTCTTTGGAATTAATGAAGATTTAACTTATTGACAAATGATTAGTTATGATTTGATAGAGCAAAGGATGTTAGGGAATTTCCAGATGCTTTAGAAAGCCTTGTGTACAAATCTTATTAAATATAAAAAAAATTACTAATTGAATTTTTTTTAATATTGTTGCCTTTATTTGCCTTTTATATTAAAATAAATTACTTATTGAAGCTCAACATTAAAACTATATTCTTTACAACTAAATACTAACATTGTATTCCCAAATAAAAAATCATGCCAAATGACAATGGCCAAATGCTTCATAAATCATGGTTCCAAAAAAATGCAAATCAAGACATCACCTCAAAGCAACTATACATAAAACACTAACCACAAAACACTAACCACAAATCAATCACTTCTCGATCTTCAAAAGCATATACTATGTACTGGTAACCAAGGAAGAGAAAAACAAGCTTAACAACAAAATCCAAACATGCGTATTTATGAAATATAATGAGTGTACCAAGGCATATAGATTTTACAAACTTGAACGTATGAAAATACTTATCTCCCAAAACATCATGTTCAACAAGAGCCGTGTTGGCTACCACCATCTCATATGATGATCACTAACCTCTAAACACCACTCTCTTTTTATAGCAACTCAACCCAATGATTGATTTGCAATCACGACTCTCATGGACCATGCCGAGACAACCGCTCTCCTCGACAATATCGAAGCTAGTCCACATGACCATGACACCCACCAAAAATTCACATCACTAGCCAAGCACCCCTCAGACTGTAGCAACAGACCAACAAGAGAGCTTCTCACCTCGTCAACTTGATCGAGACCTCATTCCAAAAAAATGCCACCCCACGCGAGAACATTGACCTTGTATTCGACTAAAAGATTACCTAATCCTCTCTGTTGAACTCGGCATCACTGAGAATCCTGTAACATATGCCAAAGCTGTCCATAATGCAAACTAGCGAATTGCAATTCAAGAAGAGATTGATGCCATCTAGAAGAATGCAACATAAGAAGCAACTGAGCTTTCGGAAGGCAAGAAGCCAATTTTAGCAAAATGGCTCTTCAAAATAAAACGCGATGCACAAGGTGCGGCTTGTTGCACGCGGCTTCGAACAAAGGGAGGGAGTCGACTTCTATGAGACATTTACTCCTGTGGTCCGCTGGAGAACTATACGCACACCCTTGCCGCCCGAACGAGGTGGACACTACATCAATGCGACATGAAGACGGCCTTTCTAAACGGCACAATTAAAGAAGAGGCCTACATAACCATTTCGGATGGGTTCAAGGAATCACACTTTGAAGGCAAAGTTGCAAAATTGAAAAGGGCTCTTTATGGCCTACGCCAAGCACCGCATGCTTGGTACAACTGAATCAACAGCTACCTTACAAAAAATCTCTCACTAAAAAAGGTGACCTCTGACTCGAACCTGTATTTTTCTATTGACAGCGAGCAATACACAACAATCCTCTTGTACGTAGACGATTTAATTGCGACAGGTGACAATCATGAACAAATCAACCACCGAGCAACTGCACAGGGAGTTTGAAATCACAAGCCTCGGCAAAGCAGCTCTCCACCTCGGAGCTGAACTGACATACACCAACAAAGGGATTTACGTTCATTAGGGAGGTTACCTGATGAAGATGCTGAACAAATATGGGATGGATACATGCAACGCACTAAAAACACCAATGAGCCTTAGGGTGCATCTACGGGAAGATATGGGCTCTCCTCCCACCAATTTGAAACTATACCAAGGCATAATGGGAAGCTTAGTATGAACCTCAAACACTCAACCCGATATATCATTTGCGGTCAAGTATGTAAGCCGCTAGCTTCAACACCCACAAGAAAACCACCTCAAGGCTATGAAGAACATATTTTGATACTTTAAAGGCACACTAGATCAAGAATTATTTTACAAGTATGGAAATGAAGAACATCTACTTACATATGCTGGTATAGATTTTGTAAGAGACAGAGATACAACAAGTCAACATCTAAAATCCTGCACAAGTTGGGAGGGTCACCTATGGGCTGGTGCAGCAAACGTCAAACTACTGTAGTTCCTTCTACAATTGAGGCGAAATACCGCGTATTCATCGAAGCCGCCCGTGACATAGTCCACCTATAGAGACTACTAGCCAAACTAGAATTTCATCAAACATCACCAACAACATTGAAAAGAGATAATCAAAGCTGCATCAAACTTGTAAGAAATCTAATCTTGCATGCATGGACGAAGCATATTGAGCTTCAACACCACTTTATTTGAAAAAAAAAACAACATGAAACATGGAGGTAAGCTACACTCCCACTTCTTTACAACAAGCTGATGTTCTAACGAAACCATTAACTACTACACAACACGCTAATGCCCCCGAAGAAATTGGACTACAACGATTGCCATGAGGTCTGCCAGGCCCTAGCTGCCACCATAATCACCAGATCAGCCTCGGCCAAACATCACTCTTTTAAATTCACCTTAGCAACAACTATCATCCGACCAATGGCATGAGTTCCACACATTGTCCTTGATGAACCATTTGTTGCTGCTTAATCCCTCAGGTTGCTCTGACTGATAAGAGAATAATCCAAAAATTGACGTCCTCAAAATAGTCACAAGTTTCTCCTTAAGAACAAGCTCAAAGTGGTCAATCTCTGCCAAAATTCTTCCTATCACATCCAGAGGCCTCTGATTCTTGCTTCGCACAGAATCAATATAACTAAGAGTGTCCAACTTCACAAAATTCAAAATGACCTAGTTGTTGGTCGATTCAATCGATCGTCTCCAAGCGCGACTCACTCTTTGGAGCTTGAACAAGCAGAAGGGATTGTTGACAAACAACAATCAAGGCAGAATTCTATCTCAAACCAAAATGTCTGAGAACGGAGGAAGGAGAATTGAAGAAGAGGGCTCGTAAGCAAACCCCAACGACTTGGATATGTAGTAAGCTGTAGTCGTCCTAAAATCAATCTCATCGTTAGAAGTATCAGTGCCAGGTTCAAACGAAGCATCAAGAAGAGCCCTCGAACAATGGAGGACAACATCACACACTCTCCAAATGGTGCTTGCAAGACACCAAATACCAAATAACATAGCCTCGCACTGCAACAAGTGAAAGTGGAGGCTAAGCATCTGTAGCTTGTCTCATCCAGTCAACTCAAATCAAGAAACAAAAATTTTAGGATTAGGGAATTATGGCAGTAAGATGCTCTACACATTGACGAAGATCCTGCAAGGATTTAACGGTCACCCCCTTGTTCGAGACATTCTGTACAGAGTACAGAGTGCGTTTGAAAAGGAGTGTTAGAAACCATTGAATTACCCTCTTCAACTCTAATATAGTCATTCGTGAAAGGAAAAAGAAAGAGAACTCTGTGAGTCAACCTCAACAAATGAACAATTGTAGAAGGATGAATGGCCAACCATATCACAGCTGAGCACTAATGACCGCTACGTGGTTTGTTTCACAAATGTTCTATATAAGCCTTTGTTTGGAAGCTTACAGATTATCTCTGAATAAGAAGTGAAAGGTCTTTTACAATCCTGAGTGTAGGAATTACTTCTCCAGATTCACTGCGACGAGCGGGAGCTCTTTCCAATTGAACAGGGGATACAGATGTTCAGATCTTATTCCGTTGGCATGATCTACATGTGGTGGGAGCTTGAGAGGTACCAATGACGTCTCCTTAAACGTTGAGAATGTTCTCCAATTATCTGAGGTTGGATATTTGTAATTAACAACTTCATCTACTTGGTTCTTGACACTATTCACGAAGGACGGCACTACTGCGATCCATCGAAGCGTTAGCTGCTGGGACGGCACAACGTATCCAAATGCATCATCACAGTTTATGGTAAAAACGCATCTAACTGGTCTTCTAACACCTACCAATCACTTCCACCCTGATAGATGTATCAGAGTCATCTTCAAGGGTATGATAATACTTTAAGCATGACGAGACAGAAGTGCTCATGAATATCATCAGTTGAGGTGTCTGGATAATATTTGACTCTTGATGAGCATCCGTTCCTCAGGGTTTAACTGCCTTCAGTGTGTGTCAAGGAAACAGTACCAACATTGGGCATCCACGTTACACTAGCACAGAGTAGGTCTACGAGAGAGACGTAAAACTCACATCTGTTAAGAACAAAACTTGGCCGGGACAAATACTCTTAAACTGGATTTGAGTAGGTGGTTTGATACAACCTCTGTGGTGCACAATCTCAGACTAGAGGAGCTCTCCCGCCAAAGTAAGAATCGCGAACAAGAAATTATGAATAATGAACTAGTTTGAATTCGGACACGAAACTTCCAAATTGAAGGAGTTCGATCGCTTTGCTCTTGAACCGTGTATGTCTTTCTGAGGTCAGCCATGAGTGATGAAACAGTGTAACTCGCATAACAAAGACGGCTTAGTGTTGGCGGAAATGTACCCCAAACTGAGGAAATAATTTTGTTAGAGAACCAATTTGGTTACATGATAAATGAAAGAATGCTGCTGAGAAACGGAGTATACGTCGTCTTCATTCCATCATTAAAAAGACAACGTATACTCGATATCCTCCGAGACTATACAATCTTAAATCACGACGCTTCTAGGACGTATTCACAGATAGAATCCAGAAAAGGGTTCTTCTCGCTCCTCATTGTTTAATGAAGTGCTGGAAGTATGTGCGAATGCAAGCCCTGTTCAAATCCGTGGACCTTATTTATCTGTTAAGAATGATCTTCAAAAACACACTTGACCTCATTTCTGAACTAGTTCCTACACTGGCACCGTCTACGGATTTCTCCGTCAGGTGCTTCCAAGGGCTGAATGAATTGGAGCTTGAACATGGCCTCCGCAAACCTGTTCACGAAAGCGCGCTGGTTCAGATTTGCGTCCACGATGGGGCGGGTGAAGTCCTCGCGGTAGAGACCTTGATCAGAAGTCATCAGACCGTAGCCAGCTCTGATATTCCTAAAATACTCGGTGTCGAACTTGTGTACACTTTTACGATCCATGACAAGAGAAGTGGGAGAAGACGCCTTCGGACATGATTTCTGCAGTGACTTAAGGAGATCCTTGGGCATGGTCTTATCGACCGGGTTGTATATCCTGTCGCTTATATGGTTGCAGTGGGTGACTCCGATTGTATGGGCACCTGTAATTACCATCACAAAATTCAGTAAGTCAGCCGTGAACAAACCTGACATTCGAACAAGAAATCGGTCGATAATGGGAGAAAATAACGGTAGGATCTGTCAAGGATAAGGAATTAGAATATACCAGATAAAACTACCATATCTTCCGTGTTCAATCCCTGCTGTGCGAATGTAGAAACCAGTTCATTAACACTGGCAAAAGCTGTAGGAATATTTTGCTCGGGCTCTATCTTATTGGAGATTCTCCCATCTCGCCGCCCTGCGATAACTCTCCAGCCCTTACCGCCAGTGAGGACCACTGCGTCTCGGGAGGCGTAAGCCAAGATATCCGCACAGGACACTGTTCTGGGACATGCGTCCTCAAGATAATGTTTCGCGGCGTCAATAACTTGGAACCCGTGCAATCTGGCGTTTATTGCGGACGCCCTTTCAGATCTTCTTCCACTCAACAGAACAGATGCGTCGCAACCCTGTAAACAGAATACAAAGATTTCAGAATAAAACTATGAATGATCATTCCAAACTCCATGTTGTACGTGTGGGAGTACGACAGAAATCGAATCTCAAGCGCTAGACAAAATTACGTATTCACATTGCATACCCTTCAACCGTTAATGCGATACCTGGAATGCACACTTCACATACTGGACACTGAAAAGGAACAAGATTTAAATACTATTTCTTGGTTTCGGGTAAGGCTGAGGTACTTACTCGAACAAAGCAATCATGGAATATCAAGCGGAGCAGTCCTGGTGCAACAGTCGGATCCTTCTTGAAATATCTCTGAACCTCCCTGAAAATGATGCTCTCCGCTTGCGGACACGACTTCCGGTAGTAGTTGTAATCAAGAGCGTCGACCTGATTAACACTGAGGGATATCGCGATAACACAAACCAAAGCAAAAATACACGAGGCTCGAAGAATGCGAGCCATCGCAAACACCTTCTGAAACGTAAATCAACACTTCTAATAATGCGATGAGAAACTGAAGTCCCCGAATCGCAGACAATTCAGAACTAGATCGCCGAACACTGAGGAGTGCGAAGCTTATCTTAACACAAAAGAGACCTATGCCAACCTTCGAAACCACGAGTGGTTCCCTCCCGACAACTGTTTCGATGCGTGCTCGAGGAGTCTGCACAGCACCAGCCGTAGCTAGGATGGCGAGGACAGGAAGGCTTCAAGAGAGAAACATGTTTCGATTCCGAGGAGGAAGCTATGTACTAGGTCACAGCTAGTGCTTTCCCACCCTCGGCAAAAGACGACACCAAAGCCTAGAGATGCGGCAGACCAGCTTCGTCAATTGAGTCTCTCACTCCACCGCACCAGAACGCTGCTTTTCACTCTGGTCAACTCCATAATTTTACCACCAAAGTCCTTCCCAATTCTACCGAGAGTGCCCGCACTAATCTCGACAGCAGAGCACCAATTCAGTCCAAGAGGTCCACATCGAGCTATCTAGCTAGCAGACCCGAAACAATCACACACGCGTTCAGTCCACACCGGAAGAATCGGGCGCCTTCTGCAAGGGGGGACGACGCAGCCAGCGATAAGCTCCTCCGAGTCAACCGTGAATCAGTGCGCTTAACTCACAGCTAAAATCTATTTCCGAACGCGCCGAGCCGCACTGATTTCCTCGCAGCATGCGCGTCGCGCTAATTATGATGATACTTGCGCACTGCACATCGACGAAGCTCACCCCTCGAATCTATCGAGATAATGGGTACCTACCGCAAAAGTCAGCGCGTGTTTGTGATTGTGTGTGTGTGGAAGCTGTTATCGGTGTGGTCTCGGTGATGGCGGACGGTCCCTCGCTCAGATCCTGCAGCTACTCACAAAAACTGCCCCCCATCTCTCTCCCTCCCTCTTGTCATTCCACTGTTTTCTTCGCTTCCTCGTTTTGCAGAAGATGATACTGTTTGGTGATTCTCCATCGATGAGGATGTTTTATTCTGTGCTGGAGACACTGTTTTTGGGTCTAATGAAAACCGTTTTGTTGATTGTTCTTTGAGGGTTCAAGGATGGATTAGCTTGCAGTTTATTATATGGCCGTGTCCGGGTTTTCTGAGTTACTTGTTTGTTTGATTGTTTTGATTTATTTTGTTTTTTTTTGGGGGGGGGGGATTGCACAGTGTTGAATGTATATAGAAATAGTTAAAGTTATAATGTACGTTGCGTGAATCATGTAGTTTACGTTTCGTGTTTTTTTAAGAATGGTTCCAAATTGATGTGTAATGAGAAATAGAAATGAGCTTTTAAAACAAAACATGGGTCACGTAAAATCATGCTGATGTGTGAATTTTTTTTAAGTATGTATATAAATTGTTTGTGAAACAAATACATGTAATAACTTGCATTATTGAGCCCATTAAGTAGTGTTATGTGCCATATTGAGTTTATATAGAATTAAACTTCTAACATTCAAGTTGATTGAATTCGTTTCATTTCTTTGAAGCATTAATAATTAAGATATTCCAAAGATAAAAAGTCATATTCAGAATATTTCTTTGCAATAAAAGTACGAAGAAAAAGATTGATAGTTTCTATTCTGTATCTCAGTTATTTGATTTGATTTGATTTTTTTGTTTTTATTTTTATGTTTTAACAATGTTTGTTTGCTTGTTTTCTTTTATGAACACATTATTATTTTAACATATAATGGCCATTTTTAAAAATTATTCAATTAAATATTAAACTTCATTGATGATGGAAGAAATCAAAGAAATCAAAGAAATCATCCAGTTAACAATTTGTAATCTTTAATTATCAACACACAAGTATAAATCCTTGTTACGTTTCTTACAAGATACAATACATAGTCTTAAAAGTTGATTCAGAACATTAGATGAAAATTGTAAAACAAATTCAAGAAATGTAATAGGAGCTTTCGGATCATCGTTCAAATACACAGTGCTCGGCACGATGCAGCGGCACAAGCACGCATTTCACACTGGGAGGAGGATTGAGATGCTCACCGAACCAATTCCATTTGTCGCATGGGATGGGTCCTTTCTGGTGACGAGCGATGTGAACCCGTGACGCCACTTGGAACCCAAAAGTGGTGGAGCTTATGGAAATTGCGGTTCTCGTAGGATGGCATTGATTGATGGGCCGGGTTGAGGCGGCGCAGAAATCCAGGATCTCGGCACTTCGCTGTGGAATTTGCCCTTGAATCAATCGTTTTTTGACTTCTTTGTTTATTTTCGTTCACTGTAAAGTAGGGTTACTGCATCACTCCAGCATGGTCAGAATGCCCGTGTGATCACGCAACACTGATTCACGCCCTTTCATTGAAATTGCTTGCACCCAACATCGAGCAACAATTCCAGCTGGCCGCCTCCCATCTTCACCTTCTGTTTTTTGCTTCATCTTTTTACGGAAACAATCAGACAAACGTCCTTCACAGCGAAACTACTTACACAATTTGGGAGGGGCAGTTGCCTATTGTGTTGTCCCGATTGCCACACCTTCCTCTCACAATAGCCTTTGCTTGTTTGCCAGGCAAAAGTCCATAAATAACTAACTGCTCTCAAACTAATTCCACCTCGTGATGTCTGTCATCGATCCAAGCGGCCGCGCTCGTGACTCCCCGAAGCTTAACTTTCTTTTTTTCTCGCAACTCGTGGCACCTCCCGATTAAAAGAATTTTTTTTTGGCATCTCAGCGTCGCTTAATCGCATCGGTAGGCTTTGCAGACAATTTCGATGCCGATCTGCAATAATCACAAATCCGAACTTGATTTTGTCGCTGAAATCTGAAGTGGGATTGTTTGTGCGTGCGTGCGCGCGCGAGAGAGAGCAGTTCGAAGTGAGCAGTTCGAAATCTCGCAGCTCCAAATGTAAGAGGAATTCATCCAATTGCATGTTTTTATTTTGCGTTGAAGATGCAATATCACCACTTCAACATCCCGCGTTGTCTTTTTGCCATAGTTCGGCGATGTATCGTTTTAGGAAGTAATGCGGGGCTTGATACTATTGCTACAAACAAATTATATGTGTACTCCACATATTCATATATACTCCACATTGGCTTTTTTGGTATTCTAATTCTAAATTGATTTATTTTATTTTATTTTATTTTTTAATTTCAACTTATATTCTCACATTGGTTTTATTTGATATCTTATTCTAGGGTCAAAGTTGGTTTGTTAGGTCAACTTGTAATAGTATTTGCATCCACCTATTTTGTTCCAAATGTGCATGTCATGTAAAGAGATTTAAGAAGGGTTTATATATTATAAAGTTGTTTTGGATGAAAGTTTGTCTTATTTATCACTATGAAAAATGTATTAGTAATTTATGATTTTTTTTAAATATACAAATTTATATTTTTTATGTAGTTTTGAGAATTTAAAGACTTTATATTATATAGTTCTTTAGTTGTCAAGATTCTTGTAATTTTAATGTTTATCATTTAGTAATATGTTTGTCTCTCTCTCTATATAGAAAGAATAATTTTATTATACTATAAAAATAGTTTTGAAGTATACTAAGAATTATGATAATGTCACTAGTCTTACAAAGAAACTAATTGATTTTAAACTAATCAAGATAATGTTAGATTCAATAGTTGGTACAAAAAACATATTTGCAATAAAATTAGAATTTGGGTATAAAAATTTATTTATAATTTATTTATTTTAATTCACCAATTTCTAATCTAAACATGTTTAGATAATGATATTTGTAGCTACATTTATTTTTTGTTCTTTCTAAATGGAAATGATTTGTGGATGTTGTTTTGATTTTATACAAAAAAGAATATGTAACTAGTGGTTTGATTTTATTTTCACACTAAAAATGTATAAAAGATTTGTGGCATATTAGCTTATAGAATGATAGTTGATACTAATAAGTATAATTGATTTAGAGACAATATGAGTATAAAAATAACACTATAAATATGAATTGCAATAATTTTTGATTTTTTTGATGGATAATACTTGTGTTAATCTACTAAAGATGATTTTGTGAATTAATTGTGTACTAATAGTAATTGGGTTTGAAGTGATATACTTGCATCAATTCATTGCATATTTTGTACTTAAAATAACTATCTTTATATCATATTAAGATAACTTCTATACTATTTTAGATATTATTTTTAAACATATCTTTTGTTTTGATAATCATTTAAAAAAATATATCAAGTGCCACAACAATATCAATATATTATCTAAGTTTTTATTGATACACAACATACTAATAGGTGACATCCATAGTGTTTAGTTTCTTATTAATTTTAAAGAAATATATTAGTACTATTATTTATTAGATGATATAATTTATCTTTATGATTTTTATTTATTTATTTATTTATTTATAATCCATAATTTATTAAAATATAATTTATTTATCTTTAAATGAATAAACTAATTCTCAAAGATACATAATGTACAATTGGACTTATATAATTAAATTTTGGCCATATAAGAGCATAAATTCACATTAAGATGTTATACTTTTTTTAAAAATTTTAGAATGTAACAAATACTAATAAAATTAGCATAAATTCAAAAAAAATGTAAGATTTTATTCTTAATTAGATTACAAAGAATCTTGACATTTTAAGATTTGATAGAAGACATTTATAAGTTTAAAAAGTATTATAATTTTAAAATAAAATTATTAAAATAAATTAGTCCATTCAATTACAATCTATGATATACTATTAAATAAAAGACTTTAAAAAAATAATTTATACGACACTATATAGTGTATAAAATATACCATTACAAAATAAATGGTCCACATTTATTGCTACATTAGGCATTTAAATTATATATTGTCATAGATATACACTTGTAAATCAATAATTATCTATATGATTTAGATAAAAATAGGTTAATTCCATAATATCTTCTATAGTAGTTTCCTAGAACCTTTATAGATGTTGCTTTGACTTTAAAGGTATCTTTGATTGATTTTTTAGGTTAGAAACCTGGTCAACAAGTTGGCCGTGTACAACACATGTTGGTAGCTTGAAGAACAAGCTAACTATGTAGCCAACATATAGAAAACTTCCTATATAAGTTAAGGCATGTGTCTTGCAAAGTCACCTCATATTAGAGGTCCTATTGAACATTTCCACATAGTTCATAGTTAGATAGTATATATAGAAGTAAGTGTGAAGCAATCTTCACTTTTGTCAATTCTTTTCTTGATTCTAGATTAAATTTAAGAGTCTCTAGCTTCCTTATCTTTTGAAAATAGCCATTTCAGTTTCTTTTTAATATACATACTATTATATTGCTATTTTTTCATTTTTCTTTTAACACAAATTTATAGGTTTATGCATCTTCTTCTAGTTCATGTCTTTGATAGATTGACAAGAGTACACTTATAATATTAGAGCTTTGTCTTTTCTTGATTAAGAGTGGATTACTCTTTTTTTCTTGATAAGACATTAGCGTATTA